AAGTCAGTGACATTGGTGACCGCAGACGTTTACTGCATTGTGGAAATTGAATTTTGACAAATTTATTTTCTGCAAATTGCTCTTATGCAGTATACTATATTCAGTAGTTACCCTTCAGCTAGCTGTGGTCCTCCTGAGAGTCCAGAATTTTTCAAAATCACCTTGGGGACTATGGATCTGCTCTATCTTTCCTTTAATGGCAGGAGAGGGATTTACCTCCCACCAGGGCCTCCTAGGTATTTTCTGGTCCAATGAGTTACCCTGGAAGGACCCACAAAGAGTATGCCCAGAACTCTGGAAATTTCAAAGATTCACCTGATGTCCAGTAAAGGCTGGAGCTGTCCTGGGAGAAATGAGAGTACAGCCTGCCCAAAGTAACCTCAGGAAGGTCCATGTCCTCCAAGGAGAACAGAGCCATGGGACCCTGCTGGCCTGGGTGGCACGTGCAGTCCAGGAGAGCAGAAGGTAGGACACCTGGGCTTTGCAGGCTGAAGGAGTCCTATTCCCTGCAGTCCAGGCTTCTCAATGCTAAGGGGAGGCCCCAGTGTGGATCTGAGGTCCTGCCCTCCTGTAGGAACTCACTCAACCAGCCAACTGCTGAACAGCTGAAAACTGTAGAGTGACCTCTGGAAGGTAGGAGGGGATCAGAGTCCCTGCACCTCTGCCCTCTAGACTCTGCTCGAGGACTCTGCATGGGAGTGACCAGGTTCGCACATGTTCTCCATGCCCTTGATATCCCCTCCTGCTGCTTCTCTGCCCTCAGGGAACACATTCCATTATGTGACCCTAGGTCTGTGACTCCAAACTATATCACAGGCAGCTGATTGGTCCATTGTCATTCACTTTGGTGTCTCTCTAATCTAAATTTTGTCTACTTCTCTAGTATTAATATCATTATTTAAATTATGTATGTCATTTTGGTCATTGTAATGGTTACTCATCTTTATTTTTATTGTAACTTTACCTAGGAATCATTTTTGCGGTGGTTGTTCTAAACATTGAAAAGATTTGTCAATGAAAGAAGGATCAGATTTTTCTGAGGGTAATTATGGGGGGAGGTCCCTGTAGGCAGACATAGCATCACTGACATTGGACTGTCTGCTGCCGTTTAAAAGAAGGAGCCTACCTCCAGGGTCCCTGCTTGGCCTCAGTTATTCAGTAGGCCTGTCTGCTCTGGCCCAGGTTCTCATCTCCTTTTCTCTCTTGGCCTCTTCACCTCCATGTCCCTGGCCTCAGTTCCTCTACACTGGATTCCCCCACTCCCCTCCACATCTCCTCACCAACCAAATGCAAGAGTTAGGTCTCCTCTTGGGAACAGGGCTGCTCACTTTCCTAAAAGTTACACCAATTACCCTCCTCTTCACTCAGACTCAGATCCCTTCTGCCTTCCTCTTTACCCTCCCTACCCATCATCTCAGCTCTGGCCACCAATCCCACCTTAAGCCCTGTGCTACTCCTCCTCAACTCCTGACATATTTCCAGCCATGCCGTGACTCGCTTCCTGTTGATTGCCCAGGTGAATGTCAACTGGCTCGAGTGACAAGGCCCTCCTCTCCTGCCTCAGTTCACCTCCGATGAGTCAGCTATTCTACACCTTGGCCCTGACCCTACGTACCTGTATCTTCCCTTCGTCTCAGTCAAGGACCTCCCTCTCCCCAAGTTGCACTAGCAGCCTTTAGTGCTTCAGCCTCACAAACATGCCCCTTCCTTCTGACACTTCAGTAGTCTCAGTGACACTCCCAGGCCCCTCAGGCCCAGCCTTCCAAGAAGTGGTCCCTAACCACTGGGACTGAAGACCCTGCCCATGTGCATGCCACTTCCTCCATCGTGACTTTGGAGTGAGAGCTCTACAAAGGCTTCAGAAAAAGGGATAAGAGAGACTAATGCAACTGATAGAAAAAAAGTCATTTTAAGAGAACTGTCTATGGAAAATCTCATCCTTAAAAAAGTCACCGGGAAGTTTGACTTTAAAAATTAAGTGTAGACTCAGCCCCGTGGCCAAGTGGTTAAGTTTGCGCGCTCCGCTGCGGTGGCCCAGGGTTTCACCGGTTCAGATCCTGGGTACGGACATGGCACCGATCATCAGGCCACGTTTAGGACGTGTCCCACATGCCACAACTAGAAGGACCTGCAACTGGGATATACAGCTATGTACCGAGGAGGATTGGGGGAGATAAAGCAGAAAAAAGAAAGAAAAAGATTGGCAACAGTTGTGAGCTCAGGTGCCAATCTTTAAAAAAAAAAAGTGTAGATGACAGTCTTCTCAGAATTCAGAGCCATTTCTCAGGGTGTACACTTTAGTCACTTAATTGAACCTTTCGGAAAAGAGGGATGAAATTCTGAAATGGATCTGGAAGAGACAGTGGAGCTGCAGGAAAATGTGTAATCCAGTCTGACTTAGGAAGGAATGGACCAAATCATTAACTCTTCTTTCCAAGTGAAAACAGCAGTGGATGCAAAATACCAGCATCAACATGATTGATAAGCGATCAGGAATACTTCATTTATTTCCTTATTCCCTTACTTGTCAAATTTCCAAAATTAGACACCATATTTTTCCAGCTTTATGGAGACGATCATCGACAAATAAAAGTGTATACCTTGAAATTGTGGAATGGGATGATTTGAACACATGGATATTGGGAAATGCTCACCACGGTCAACTGAAGGAACACGTCCCTCACCTCACGTGGTCTCACATCCGCTTTGATACATGGTGTGGTGAGAGAGCTAAGGACCTACTGTCAGAGAATTTCAGGTATAAGAATAGAAAGTCTAGTCCTGTAGTTGACAATGTTACAATTTCTAGGGGAAATAGGATGAAATCAAGAGGTGCAGGCTTTTACCTATCAATGAAGTTAACCGTAACGACTGAAAAAGGAATAAAAAACAGATGACTCAAACACAGTACCTTCTTCTGCCAAGCATAATGTTTTCAGGTCAACTTCATGCTTTGAAAGACAGATGAACAGACAAAGAGCCCACAGGATGTGCTGCTTTTCCACCCTGTGCTGCACGTACGGCCAGGGCCCCGAAACAAGAGAAATGACGGCATCTTGCCTCTTGGAAATAAAGACCCAACTTATTTGGCATTGGCCAATGATACAATTGTACATAGCACATGCTAGCAAAATCAAAGAAAACCTCTTTGAATGAACAGCTACTTTCAACAAAATAATGAAACTCCAAATCAAATGACCAAAATATGTAGCATTTGTGTGTAATTTCCATCAGAGTTTAATTAAGAAGAAAGATTACTGACAATACCCCTTCTTGTCAATATATGTCTATTATATATAATAGATCCATATATTAGATCCAGGAAAACTTTTGTAGTTTTATGAAAAAACTCTATCAAATACCCCTAATTGAAATAAAGTGACAAGTAAATAAGGGGTAGTTAATACATATTGTAGTTGGGGAAAAAAATCACCAAAGACACTTTCTCTTCCAATTAATGGATAATTCCATCAATTCTATTCAAAATCCCAAGGCATTTATCTTAAGAAATGAGGAGACAATTGAAAAATTAAGAAGTAAAAGAATGGAGCCAGAAATAGTATATGAAAATTTCTATAATTAGAGGTGTTAAAGGGATTTTCTTTTCTTTTAGAAAGGAAAGAAATTATTCTTGGGAAGCAGTTCCTGAGAGTGGTGGGTGCCACCTTGGTTTAATGGTGGGAGGGACCACGGGGCACAAGGCCAGTGGTGAGTGATTCAGGGGGGCACACAGTCCTTGGAATTCGGGGATGCAGGATGAGCCCCCCAAGCTGCTATGGGAGATCCCAGTGTGGTCCCCTGCTACCCAGGGTGGAAGTGACCAGGATGGGACCTAGCCCTGGCTACAGGGCTGTGGACTCAGGTCATGTGATCAGATTCATAGATGATTAAAGAAATACAAATTTAATAGTTGATACAATCGCAAAAGCATGCAAGTCACAAACTGTAGAAACTCTCCAGCCTGTCAACTGTATGGAAAAATGGAGACACTCCACCAGCAATAGTGGCAGTGGTATTTGTTGACCTGCTTTGTAGGACAAGAAGTTCCCTTGGACTAAATGAGGAATTTCCCCAATGAGGTTACTCAACATTTCCATTCCTGTCTCTTAATCAAAACCCAGACACGAGCCTAACACTTTCCGTGGGACTGAGGGCTAGTGGAAGAGAAATGGTGAAAATAATACAAATATCAACCAATCAGAGAGGAGGCTAAAAGAGAAAGCTCCCATTCACCGACATAACTACATAGTAAAGGACTGTTACACTGAGTGAACTAGAGTTACGATTCTCCACACAGAAACTTCTCGAGAACAATGATTTGAGTCACGAGACAAAGTACAAAGGGAGCCATTCACAGAAGGACAGATATTCTCTGATGCCCTTTCTTTGAATTTCCAGAGCTGTCCAATTCAAACAGATATAAAAGAAAATGGTGGTAGAAAGGTCGGCAGGGAGGGAAAAAATGAAGACTTAGTGTTGAATAGACATGGAGTTTTGGTTGGGGAAAATTAAAAGCTTGGAAAATGGATGACAGCTTTGGTTGTACAACTGAATTTCCTCTATGCCATAGAACTCTAAGCTGCACTGCGTTAAATTAGTAAGTATTATGTCACACATATGTTACCACAATAACAACGATGCGAACTGGAGGAAGAAACAGGCATATACACAAACATTTATTTATCTTATAGAGAATAGATATTCTTACAAGTATGCATGGATGTAGATAGGAGTTTCAAAATGGGTGAAAATGCTAAACGAGACAGGATAGTTCAAGCCTTCAAGATCAGCTGAGATCAAGGCTGGGAAGATTAGCTTGATTGATTGATAGATATCCCCTTCACACAGTCATGTGACCTTGAAACGCTATAAAAGCCTTCCCCCAAAGGAAACTCCCCCACTGACACTTCCTCAGTCACCTTGGAACCTGCATTGTGTCCAGGGCACTTGGTCTTCCACCCAACGTTCTAGAATCTACTGTCCTCTATGAGAACTTTCAAGATTCCTCTTCCTCTGAAGAGAATGACTTGTAGTGAGACACGTCATGGTAGTGCAAACATGTCCTCTAGCTCCAGGAAACTTGGAGGTGACTGTTGAATGAAGAGGAAAAGTCACAAGGAGCTGGCTACTTCTGTTGAATCAGCCACTGCCCAGAGCTGCTGGGTGTACAAATTGTGGAAACCAAGATGATACCTCGGTACAGACACACAGGCAGCACTGCCCTCTTTCATTGTGTGAGTAGAAGTTACATTTCAAAGGGTACTTATCAAAGTGGTGTGTAAAGTTCTTTTATATTGAAATCCGTTTTATAAGATTGAGTCAAATTGCGGAGATGACTTTTTTTTTTGATTTTTTGAGGAAGAGTGGTCCTGAGGTAATATCCACCATGAATCCTTCTCTTTTTGCTGAGGAAGATCAGCCCTGAGCTAACTTCTGTGCCCATCTTCCTCTGTTTTGTATGTGGGATGCCTACAACAGCATAGCGTGATAAGCTGTGCATAGGTCTGCACGCGGGTTTGGAACTGGTGGACCTTGGGTCCCCGAAGCAGAGCAATTGAACTTAATCACTATGCCACTGGGCCAGCCCCTATGGGGATGACTTTTAAACTGGAAGATAATAGGAGACTAGGAATTTAATCCATATTTGTCTACCAGTTTCTGAATTTGGGGACAGTGGGTAAAGGGCTCAAAAATGTGCTTTGCAGATTTTAAACCGTTCCCTGTCTTGGAATGAGATGTATTGACTCTGTGGAACGATTTCAGTGCAAATTCTGATGTGCAAAATTGTCATGGCTTTGTTCATTTGGGTTATCCAGTGTCGTTAGAAAGTTGTATTGTAAAATGTTCTTTCAATATTAAAATTCTCCCAAATATGACATATTGTACATGATTTTTATTTCTAAGCATGCAGATCATTTTAAAAATTACTTTTATTCACCTAAGTCTCTTTCACTGGGTAAAGGGGAGCTTGATAGCATCCGTGGTTTCCTATAAATACAGATGCTCGGGCACACTCAGCCCCACTGCATCAATGCATGCGTATTGACAGTGTGCTGAAGTGAATCTTAGGCAGATCAAAGTGAGGTAAGCATGACCTCACCTTGACCCACATCGGACTCAGTTGGGAAGATTTAATAAATATACATTTTTTAGTCCTACTCCCAGAGATACCAACTGGGGTGTGTTTTTTGGAACCCAGGCACTGGGATGTTAAAATCTCTCCAGATGATTCCAGCGGGTGGCAAAGTTTGAGAACCACTGGAGGTGGTGAGCACAGATATCAGCTGAGTCACATGCTATCTACAGTTTCTAATTTGGGAAAAGATCTCACTAGCATCAAGAAAACTCACATAGCTCTGTAGAGGATTTCCTTCGGGAGAGTAAATGACCGCTCCTACCTCTCTATAGAACACCCATTGGCAGGTGCTTCATTCTGCAGAGGTCTGTGCCTCAGGAGCAGGGAAGTCGTTGGTTGAGTGCACAAGGTCTTGGCAAACAAGGGAAAAATCATGAGGCCACACTTGGGTGAAGCACTAGCCTGACATAACTTCTGAAATGGTCCAGTCTTCTTGGGACCCAGGTCAGAGGTGCTTCCTTTCGACCCGTAGCCCCTTGTCTCATGGCCGTCATCCTGCCTCATTACTGTCTTCTAGAGTCTGACAAAACCAAAATCATTTTGCTCCTTATTTCTGGCAATGTAAAGACTCTGGAGAGACACTGAAAGATTTCTACCTTTTGGAATCCTTTGAGCATTACAGGAGTCAGGGAATAGAAGGGTCGATCATAGATGGTAATCTGGGTTTTGAATGATTCCAGCAGGGTTATGTGGGCTTTGATCTGCAAGTACAGGGATCAGGATGTAAGAAGATATGAAGCTTTTATTAAAACAGCATTGTTGCTGTGGCCACCCCAGAAGAGCCTGACGTCATTTCAGAGATAACTGTATTCCCTAAATCATTCTAGGTGATTTCTATGGGAACTCAGAGTTGGGAACCCTTTAGCTAACATTCCTTCTCACGCTCTAATGAACGAAGAAAAATCTTGGCTCTACAGGGCTCAATTCTAGAAAATTAAAATTTTGAAAGTTTAAGATGGACCCATAAATTTTCATTTTTAACTAGGTCCATGGTGATGGTCATCCCTCCAGACATACTTCCAGTAGCACTAAGCCTGGGAAAGAAGGCACAGGACATAAGCCCTGACATCCAACCATCATCTCTCAACAGAAACACAGTGAGTTTCAATGAAGATCACCCATGGTCTCCCCCAAAGGTTCCATTATTTGCTTAACTTCAGGTAAATGAGAGAAGAATAGAGGAAGAAACAGAGTCTGAGCAGGGCAAGTTTCAGAAAACAGGATATGTTTTTACATTAAACAAACTTTATTCAGCAACTACTGTGTGGTTACAGGTTTGTTATAGTATGCTGTGTGTTTGTGAGTTCTTTCCTGGAGGTCTGACAGGGGCAATCTTGCAAGGAGATCCAGGCAGTTCTCTTGTCTGTTACCAAGATGCAGAGTTTGGATTCCTGGCCAAATATAGGTGTGGCAGGTTGTAAGTTTGGCTTTGATTTCACAATAGGATACTTGGCTTGAACCTGTGGATTTAGGGCAGGGCCATGGCCAAGTACTTTGGTGGCAGCCTGGGGAGCATCATGGGAGCCAACATTAGGCACTTTGTCTGTGAGCTTAACAAGGAGGGTAAAGTCCTGACCAAAGTACCAGAATGTAGGCTGGAGGGAATCTGTGGTATCCACTCCTTGACTATCTTATCCAGTAGGCAAAAAGAAGTTTAGTTGAAGTTTTTTGATAGGAGACACAGAAGGGCATCTCATGGCACTTTTCTTGAGAGTTGGCTGACCTGTGAGAACAGGATCTAAGACAGATTTCCTCTTGGAATTTGGAGGGGCATTGGTCTGCTAGGATGCTGTAAGAGAAGACACCGCTCCTAAAGTATATATTAGGATTGCCTCTCAATAAATGGAACATGGAAGTCAACTAAACTAAAAGCTGCAGAGCAGGTAAAAATAAATTTAGCAGCAAAATTATTACAAGTGGTCATTTTAGTATGAAAAGAAATTCAACCCGGTTATGTTGAGGAGAAAATAAATCATAATATGAACCTGTTATAATTTTGTCATACTAAAAGTAAGCATTTTAAATATTATGTCTTGTTAATCAAGTCAAAACAAGCTGTTTCTGTCTGGGAATGTCAGAGCTAATGCTGTTTTTAATGTGTGTGATGGACTATTTGGGACTATTTATTGCAACTTAAAAGATATTCTTGCATATAGGATTCTAGTTTTTGGAGGCATCTAATTTATCATTTGCATATGCCCCCTCTAGCATGGTGTTCACAACCATACAAGTAACCATAGACAAAGAAAGATTGAAGGAAAGGTGACAACTGAGGATACACCAGTAAACTGGAGTCTCATTGGAGAGAATGGAATTTTAAGGAGTTTATCACCCAGAAGAAGCCTGGGAGTGAAGCAATTCAAGGTTACCCAGAAGAGAAAAAGAGCAGGTGTACCAGGAATTCCAGGGTATTTAGAAGGGAAATGGAGCCTCACTCTCAGATGGCCACCACGTTCTATCAATTCCATCCAATTTTATTGCTTTATCCCTTGGAGTCTCCTTGGATATTCCTAAGTTACAAGCCTAGCTCAGCTGCAATTCTCGCCTATTCTTTTTGTCCTGTCCACAACAGGAATAAAAATTCTTGGGGTCCAGTCTTCTTCAGTGTTTTAGGGTGAGGCAAGTACTGAAGTCTTGTGAACTCTGCTAGGACTGCCCTGTCCCTCATCTCAGACCCATCGATCAACTGCAGATAGTTGGCCAGTTTTCCCCATTAATTTAGGCTATTGTTTTTGTGTCTGTGATGTGCAAAGGTCCCACTTGTACCCTTCTCTCTCCCTCTTAGTGTTTCTTAAAGAGTGGAATGAGCTTCTCCCTGGTTCGGACCCCTGAAGGATATGGGGTTCTTGTCTCTTTCCCTCCTGGGTGGAGGTCCTTTACTGGAGATGGCTGTACACATGGTGGGGAGGTGCCTAAATAAAGTATCTTTAGGGTACAATGACCTAGGATTGGTTACAACCTTCCACACTTTCTTTCATCTTTGTTTCTTCTCTCTTTCAGTCTTGTTAGAGGATCCTGAGTTCCAGAGCTTCCAGGGCTCTTTGGTTCCAAGTTCCTCTCTTTATTTGGCCCAAGGGCTAAGGACACAGAGCCCCATCTTACCACTTCATGGGGCAGCTCAGGCTTCCTGTGGTGTTCCCAAAGGCTCTGCAGTCCTTGCATTGCACCTGTGGGTGGAAGACAACAGGATCAGTAAATCAGCAGAAATCACAGCCGGCTTTCAAAGGCAATTTAAGGACATATTTTGCGATTTGAATATTGGTTTTGAAGAGAGGACATAGGCATGTGGCCCACTAGGTGCTAGGATATTTAAGACAGCATGGCCCTGACACAGAAAATGTTAGAGAGGGACACTAGGAGGAAGGATTAGAGAGTAATGAGATATATTTCAAGATCTGATAAACACCAGAGTAGACATAATAGGAAGTGAGGCCACTCCTCGGAGACTCTAAATGAGCAATCTGCCTGCTGATGGGATCCAAAGCCGTGCTAATTGTATGCGCTGGTAAAACTGAGTTACCCGTGCAGAACATCCCAGGCACATACCACTTTCTGGAGTCTGTGGATCCCGCTCATCCTGAGAGATTCAAGCCTCCACTTACTCTAGTATCTTCCTCCTCCTGTGCAGAGCCCTCTGTCCCACAGGTCCCCTCTGTCCTTCATCACATTCTCCCCTGTGAGGGTCAGTGATGCTGATGCTGTTTGTATTGACTTGCCATCTGACTTATCTCCTTGGAGCTTTCAGTCAGCCTTGCTCAGGTATTAATTCTTAGATGTTCCATTTCACGTGAAAAGGGAAGATATGTCAAGTCAACACAGAGAGAGCTGTCACTCACACAACTTCTCTACAAGTGGAGAAGATAGAGCCTCAATGACCACCAACCAAACCAACAACTGCTTTCTGTTTTTCACAAAGTGGTGTCACATGAGGAGACACTTACCTACCTCTGCCATGATGACCCTTTCCAAGAATAGGACCCTGCCTAGACAAGACAAGGACTTACAAATGTCGAAGATCAATGTGTACTCAAGAATGGCTTGTTTTTGAGACTTCATGAAGGTTAGCACAATAGACTACAGTAGATAAGAGAAACACAACAGTTTTTAAGACATTCAAAATAAAGAATGATTCAAGAATGCTACCACTAACTTCTGGCCATGATATTTAAAAATCTGGAGTAAGGTATGCTTTCCTCTTCAAAATTCAGATGATCACATTTGACCTGAGAGGAAGTAATTTCCAGCTACAACTTAACATAGAAAAAGGCTGTCTCCCTTTCAGCCTGGGGGCCTCACTGCTGAAGGTGTGGACTGTTCCATTCACTGCTTTATCCTCAGTGTTCCACTTTTAAAATCGTTTCTGATAAGGGTGAAATGTATATGTTTGAATGAAGAATGAAAAATAAATTATTTAGCCTTTGATTGCCCTCAGCAAAACACTAGATTCCATAACTGCTTACATTCTACACAACTCAGGGGGATTTGAACATCACGTAATAATTTGCATTTGACTCATGTATTTTATCAGTTTCTCTCCTAAGACATATAATTACAACTTACAGAATCCCCACTCCAACATCAAAAGCCACATAGATGCCTATTTCTCCAGTTAGGCTATTTTTTTGATGTGGAAACCAAGGACCAAAATTGTACTGGACACCACCCTGAAGTCCTTCTGTCCTCCTCCTGTGTGTCAGTAGATTCTCAGAGAGGCGGGCGCTGACAAACTCTGCAGGAAGTGACACAGCTGCCAGGATGCCTGAGGACTGTCTGTGGGGACATTTCCTCACCAGCTTCTTCTTAAGGGCAGGTGATCCTTAACAGTAATCTGGTGTAATCAACATGATCCAATCACATTGGATCCAATCACCTCCTGGAAAACATGTGGTAATTTGTTGTTTACCATTTTCAAATGGTAATGCGTATACTTCTAACAATATGTATTTCCTGCAAGTAAACTCATGAACATTTATCAATATGCTGTTTCATCCTGTACCTTACCTTTTGATCAAATAATCGTCCCTGAAGTTCTTCCTGCTGACACCTGTAGCCCTGGTTCATTCAGTTTCACTGTGGTTTGCCATTTATTCATATAGAAGCGTTGAGTTGCTTTTTTTTTTTTTTTTAACCCTTTCACCTCTTGGCTGACACTTATAATTTTAAACACGTCTCTTCCAATGGAAATGCAGGCATGAGTACGTCTGGGCTAATGTCCTGGTTAATATGAACACAGAATAAGGACTGGGATGTCTGGATCATCATGTTCAGGCATTTTCACACGTAGTCGGAGTCCCAGCATTATTTCTAACCTTAAAGCCTGGCTGCCCATCTCTTATTGAATATTTTTATGTTTTATACTGTTCAGCCTTCTCTGTGTGATGTTACCCACTGGAGGGGTCATACTCAGTCAGCTGACCAGCAGGGAGACACACAGGCAGGCGGGGGAGGTGCGTGGACTTCCCAGAGGACTCAGAAAATATTGTACTTGTGTGGATGGGTGTGTAGTCATTTCTGAGGAACCTCCATGCTGTATGTTCACTCTCTCCACCATTTGTAGGAAAATGAGAACAGGTCCTGTGTCTTCAATTATTCTCAGAGAATGCTGGTGGTTCTGGTGGGGTGAGGATGCCTTCCCTGGGTCATCAACGCCAGCCCAAGATGTTCCTGGCCCTTGGAGACCACATGTAAACATTAACGTTAAGAGCTTCAGACAGGTAAGGGCATCCTCCCCAGGACACCCTTGGCCATGCAAGCACTGGAGGGACTGTGCCTACACATGTCTGAGGGAATCCCTTGGTGTGAACTTCGATATTTATTTAAAGAAAGCTGGCAGGTAACTTTTGATGACAGAGGCGGCAGTCAGGACAACTTTAAAAGATATTAATACTATGTAGCAAAAACATAGGAAAAACATATTTCTGAAGCATTTTGTTTTATATTATTTTATCCTTAAGACATTTTCATCTCCATAAAACTTCCATCAAGACAGAAGATTTTTGCCCCTAATTTCCAAATAAACATTTACCTACACTCTAACCGCAAAACTCTGTGCATCCAAATACTGTCTTCACACAGAACACAAACACACACTCCGCTCTTCTCTGAATTTGTTTAAAACACAAACTCTCTCCCAATGCACAATCCCAGTCTATCCAAAGCCAGAAAATATGCACAAACACCCACATCCTCAAATGTACACACTTACCCCATACACCCCCAACACATATAAACCACAGAATCTATATTCAGAAAGCCTCATGTTCACTAACCCATAATAATAATAATAACAAAAACCAAACCAAAACAAAAAAATGCGTCATCTCCAAAACTACGGAGCTTGCCCAGCTCCTTACCCCCCAAAAACACTGCATTGGGCTTATTTTGACAACCCCAAAATATGTGTAATATCTGCCAAGTACATTTAGTGGAAAATATGAGGTAAAATAAACATCGTTCTCCATGTCTCTCAAATGCACTCCAAATTCACTATTTGACAGCCACCAAAGTGATTTACAGGTATCCCACACTGCAAAACTTCAAACATCCCACCCCCCATCAGCAAATGACTCTTCAAATACAGCACAACTGGAAAGCCCTCAGACCCAGTAATAAATTCAGCCTTTTCCAATAACATCACTGTGGACAGCTACACCTCAAAGTCAGTATTCACAAGTTCACACAAATGCTGTATCCCATGAGCACACCCAGACAGACAGTCCTTCCACATGTCTAGATTACTCACACCTACAGCACACAATATTTCCTGTACATGCCTGAGTGAGCGCGTGTGTTTGTGTGTTGGGGGTGGGGCATGTTCATCAAAGCCTGTACCGAGACTGCTGGAATGCATCCAGAGACCTCTGCCCCTGCTTGTTTTTCCTCTTGGTAGCTCTGGCTCTCCCTCCGAGACAAAGGACTTTGCCCATGTTCATTGCCCCCTGAGCTGGGCTGCCCCTAGCTGAATTGTTGAGGCGGTAGTTTTCCTGTTCAGGTTGATTCTTCCTCATCCTATCTCTGTATTTCGACCGATGAATCACAACTGCATGGGCAGGCAGGGCAGAATCTATCCTCCTGAGGTTGAATTCAGGCTTCAGTCGCTTGTGTTCTTGGAGGGATCTCCACTGGTCTAAGGTGATTTGTTTGACTGATGTATCTCCCATGTGCTTCTCCGACTCAGGAACTCTGACGCTGGAGTCTCTTTCAGGCTCCCATTTGGCTGCAACCATGGTTGGGTGGTCAGCCACGAGGGATCTTGGTTTCCCATCTATAAACACACTCCCACTGTCTCTTTCTAATTCACTCTTCTGGATGTAAAAGAGGACATAGGCACATTGGCTCAGGGCAGAAGTAACGTCACAGGCGGTGACCTTAGCATCATCCATTTTATACCACTGACCATTTCCAGCTTTTATATAACAGAAGTAGTGTCCATTGTGACAACTCCACCCAGCATGGACCAGCACGGCATAGAGTACATAAAGGAGAGGTCCTGAATTCTGCTGAGACATGTATTGTTGCATGTCAAGATACTCAGGATACTGCACATCCTTCGGCATTTTGCTGCCTGTGAAATTTGAGAACCGTTTCAGTAAAAGCATAAGGACCTTGGAGGAAGTATGCAAAGTCAACGTCTTGGAAGCAGGCACCTTCTTTAGACACATACTACAATGATACGAATTTTCACCATCCAGCTTTTCAGGCTTCACCAACTGTTCCAAGGCTTGGTTCACACTCAGAGCTGCCTTGATATCCAGGGTAACGTCCAGGTAAGGGTCAAAAGTGTCTGAAACACCATGGCAGTGGAGACATTGGATTTGAGATCTCCAGTACCCTCCAAATATTTGACGGACTAGGGTGTTATCTGAGTGACCGTCTACCTGCTTGTACTCACTCAAGCATGCTTGCTGCATGGCATCCAGAGTGAACATCAGAAATTCATGAGCGTCTTCTTGCCGGCGTCTGTGGAAGCCAGTAACCAGTTCCGGCAGGGGCTGAATAACATCTCCAGGGTGGTAGAGGGCCCGGGTAATGTGAACTTGCATTGCACACAGTGTGCAGAATCTCTGATTCTGACAGGTTTTCGAGTGCTGCTGGGACAGCATATAGCTGGCCAGGGGTGGTGTGTATGTCAGACACTGCAGTGCTGCATTCACATAGCAGGTGTTCCCCATATTCTGAAGCCCAGCGCCAACCACATAAGGTCTCTTCCAACTCAGAAGACGTTTCTTTGCGGGAGCCGGCCCTGTCGACACAGGGGCAAAACCATCCTGCAGGTTGCAAACTTCTTGTGATAATGGCGATGGCTTCTCAATTAGAGAGAGTCCCCAGTGGGCCTCAGCACCACTTGCACTTGACCAAGAAGGTCTGAGTGTTGGAAAGACATTGAACTGAGACTCATCCCTGGAGTGGAGAGAAGCAGGCTCCATGCCTCTGGAAGCAACGTTCACAAAATTTCTCATCTGGCACCTCAGGTTGCAGAAGGATACTTTGCTCCCTGAGACAGTCTCCAAATGACACAGCTGGCCATCTCCTCAGCCCTTTTATGGCTCCCTCCAGCCACTTGATCAGGTACAGTATCCACCAATCAACTAGAAGCACTTGATTGGATTAAGTGTTTAGGGTGTGGTCACTCATCCCCTGGAGAGACTAACGGACATCTTTCAATTATTTTTATCTATAGAACACTGGAAACTTGTTTAATTGCTGGGATTATGTATACATATGCTGAGAATGGAAGTGAATTTTCTCCCAAAAGAGAGACAAAGAAGAATACTGGGATAAGTGGTGTGTGTGTGTCTGTGTGTCTGCGCACACTTCTGTGCATAAGTACTCCAGGCATGCACATCTCCAGTGTGCTTATATTCCTAAGGTATCCTGGTTTGCACTTGCTATCTGCTCAGGCTGCCATAAAAAAATCCACACACCGGGTGGCTTAAACCACAGATGTTTATTTTCTTGACGTTCTGGAGGCTGGAAGTCCGAGATGAAGGTGCCATTATGGTCAGTTTCTGGTGAGAACTCTCTTTCTGGCTTACAGAGAGCCACCTTCTTGGTGTGTGCTCACATGGCCTCTCCTTGGTGAGAGCAAAGGGAAAGAGAGAGAGAAAGCTTGCTCTCTGGTGTGTCTCTCTGTATGGACACTAATCCTATCAGATCCAGACCCGCCCTATGACCTCATTAACCTTAATTACTTCGTTAGAGGCCCCATCTCCAAATACAGTGACACTAGGTGTTAAAACTTCAGGATATGAATTTTGGAGGAATCCAATTCTATTAATAATATATTTATTAAAAAGATTTCTGCCTTTCTGGCCACCACCCCGAAAGGAGCAACAAACATTTCAATGTGCTCTCAATTTCCCTAATTTCTGTCGTACTCATTCCTGACATATTTTCTTGATTGTTTTCAACTTAAAAGGATATAGTTTATGAATATCCACTTCCTTTCAGAGCAATAACAAGTGAGTCAAGGAGTGTGGGACATTCAGTTTTCCATGATACGAATGATGATTTTTCAAAGTGAGCTCACATATCATGTAGACAGAATTCCTTAACCACAAGCCAGGATTTATATAGGACTGTAAATTTTTTTTTTTTTTTTGAGGAAGATTAGCCCTGAGCTAACTACTGCCCATCCTCCTCTTTTTGCTGAGGAAGCCTGGCCCTGAGCTAACATGGTGCCCATCTTCCTTTACTTTATATGTGGGACGCCTACCACAGCATGGGGTGCCAAGCGGTGCCACGTCCACACTCAGGATCCGAACCGGTGAACCCTGGGCAGCTGAGAAGCAGAATGTGGGAACTTAACTGCTGTGCCACCGGGCCAGCCCCTGAATTTTTTTTTAAAAGATTACTCTCCAGAGCTTTTGCTTCTAAACTTCCATCTGCTTCTATTTTTATTCACATACATAATGATCATGAAGTTGGTGAAAAATAAGTTTGTCTGCCCAGGTGCAGGCCCAGAAACTGTAATGAAATAAATCCTGTGGCTGATTTCACACTTCTTTGTAAAACCTCTTTTTCTGGAGATCCCACTCCAATATGAGCTCATATCCAAAATCCGGTGTTCTATTTTGCTGAATTTTAAATGCTACCTCTGTGAAATTATGCAGCAAGATAGAGTTTAGATTCTCTTGTTTCAGTGTGTGTTTCTTTTACAGGTGTGCCATTTATACACAATATTAAGTGGGAATTTGGAAATCCAATGGAAGAATGCACCCAAATTTAACCTGTGGCTTTAACATGTCAGTATCTATTGACCAAGTTTCAGAACAGGCAGTCTCTGCGGAAATATTTTTGAATGGATGAGAGAAATATTTCATACTTGATATGGTAAATCCAATGAATCTAGATCATCCTGTAGAAAATATGGTATTCAACATTTTGTTCCTCTATTTACGTCTGCATTAACACACACACACACACACATACACTATTTGTTTTGAATTACATGACAGCATCTATCAGCATCCATCAAGCCCCCAGTGATACGGCAGCCAGCACCAGCTGGCTGACTTCCTGCCATCTTTTCTACTCACACCTGTGGAAGTGCAGACACCTGAGTTTGCGCTCCGTAGACGAGGTTGGAAGAGGAGGCTTGCATGGTGCTCCCAGACCAGCAGGGGGCGAAACTGTCCTGCACAAGCATTCCACAGACTTCCTGGAAGACAGAAAACTCTGCAGTTGTTCAGGCTGGCGGGTTTCTATCTCCATGCCTTGCAGTGCAGCAGCAACATTTCTTGGGCCAATAAAGGGATAACAAACATTGACAGAGGCTCAGGTGGGCCGAGCACTCCCTCATTGTTTTTCTATTTTTGGTAGTGGTGGATCACAGGCTCTGAGCTGGGGTAGAAAACACTGAAGATGCTCAGGCAGCCAGAAACTTGTTTCCCAGTCTTTCTAGGATGGTAGGAACAATTCCAGGGCACCCAAGTGGAATTAGAAGATTTTTAGTGGCTCTAGTGAGGCAAGGAGGCCTCCCTGAATCTTCCAAGTCTACATAAGTAGTACTAATCTCTGGAGGGAACGTGTACATTTTTGCAGAGGCTCAGTCAACCTAGGGACATCCTCCACTGTGCTTGCCTTCCAGCATGGGTAGGTACATGCCTAAGGAGGGGGACACGGAGCATTTCAAGGGTTTTGTCCCACAAGAGGAGACTAAGTGGTAAAACAGGAGCATTGCAGCCTCAGAATGTCTATAGGACTTTTGGGGACCCTCAGTAATGGTCTCCGGTAAATCAGACACTCCTCCTGCAGAGAGAAACTGTATCCAGTGTTATAGAATAACCACCACCAAAATTATCCATAATAAGAAGCATAATAATAAAAACAATGTTGAATAACAGCAGTAATGATAGGGTGATGATCACAATGACATTGATATTGGTGATAAGAACAAACCTAAGGAGATGGGGAGTTAGAGTACAGCCTCCCCAAAGGAAGTGACAAGGTACCAATAGTATCCTCATGGGGTATTAGATTTCCACAGAGTCCTAGATTGTCATAAAGAAAATTATTCCATTCTAACTTTTTTTTTTTTGAGGAAGATTGGCCCTGAGCTAACATCTGCTGCCAATCTTCCTCTTTTAGCTGAGGAAGACTGGCCCTGAGCTCACATCCGTGCCCATCATCCTCCACTTTATATATGGGACGCCTACCACAGCATGGCATGCCAAGTAGTGCCATGTCCACACCCGGGATCCAAACGGGCAAACCCCGGGTGGCAGAGAAGTGGAACATGAGAACTTAACCACTGCGCCACCGGGCCGGCCCCCAGAAAATTTTCCATAAGGCAAAACCAAGCAGCCTGATGGCCAGAACCCCAACCAGGTGAAGGGCAGGGGTGAACTTGGGAGCTCCGGTGCACATCACATGAGGGGAGCCCTGAGGAACTGAGCTGGAAGGACCCTGATCTGGGACCTGCCAAGCATGTGATTCCCATCAGATTTTAGAAATTGGCCAGCTGGCTGTCAGGCCTGGTTGCCATGCAAGGAATGCAGGAGCCAGACTGACAACCAGTGTTCAGAAGCCACGCCTGTGATCCACAGGAATCCTTCAGCATTTTCTCAGCAGGCAGCATCCACTTGCCCCTCGTCCGTGACTTCCATGAGACCCCTGGAGGGACTGATATCCTCATTTGCATATCCAGGCTCAGAACTGTGGGAGTGAGTCATCCTCTGTCTCCCTGACCAGCAGGGGGTGACAAAGGCCAGCATGGGAGATTTTCACTGTTTTTCGGAGGACCTAGAAAATTTTGAAATTGCTGGGGCAAGCTGGTAGTTGCCATCCTGTGCCTTCCAGTGCAGCACCAGCCTCTCCTGGAATAAGGAGGGGACTTTAAATGTTTCCAGGGACTCAGGCTGGCTGAGAATGCCCAATGGTGGTTCCCAGATCTGAGTCGAGGTAGAAAATTCCAAGAATATTCAGACGGGCAGTAACTCTCCGATTTCTCCAGGAAGGCAAAAGCTGCTCCTTGGCCCCTGAGTAGACTTAGAAAATACTTTGGTGACTCCGGCCATCCAAGGATATGCTCCCTGTGTCTTCCAGCTTGCCGCAAGAGTTATCTGGACATTTGCAAGGGCTTGTAAATTTCATCAGTGGCTCAGTCAGGTCACAGGATTCCTGGTTCTGTCTTAACTTTTGGCAATGCCAGTTCTCAGGTCCTGAGCTGAGGTAGAAAATTCTGAGAATACTTGAACAGTGGGGAACTCTTTCTCCATCGTTTCCAGGAAGGCTGGAGTGGTCTCAGGGTTCCAAGTGCACTTAGAAACCTTGTGGTGGTTCTGATGGACCAAGGATGCCTTGGAATTGCCCCAGCTTACTATCTAGAGAGTTTCTAGGGTGGGGTTCAGAGAGGGGAAAATTAGCCATCCCCAATAAACTCCCTGAATTGGGAGATGGAGTCTGGGTGGAGTAGATTACCAGACAAGAGAGCTTCATGGAGAGAGAACTCGAGATTCCTGCATAGGGCCCACTGACCCTTCCTCTCATGATATGCAAGCAAACTACCCATCCTGGTCCCTTAATGTCCCCGCATGGAGCACTGTTCACTGTTTACATTATAGCGATAATGATGCTGTCCAGAGATGGGCCACATGGTTCCTTTCCTGCCCAACTTTCTGACCTCCCTAGAGCTCATTATTTTCTTGTTTTTAATGTAAAGTACTCCCTCCTTATCCTTTGCTTCACTTTCCTCGGTTTCAGTTACCTACTATCAACCACGGTCAGGAAGCAGCTGATTCTCCTTCTGACGTATCTTCAGAAGGTCAGTAGTAGCCTAATACTACATCACAATGCCCATGTCACCCACCTCCCTTTGTCTCATCAAGTAGACATTTTCTTATCTCACAGCATCACAAGAAGGAGAAGGGTGAGTTCAATATAACATATTTTGAGAGAGAGACCACATTCTCATAACTTTTATTACAGTTATACTGTCGTAATTCTTCTATTTTAATATTAGTTATTGTTGTTAACCTCTTACTGTGCCTTTTTAAATTTACTTAAAATTTAGTTTATAAATTAAACTTATCACATGGTTGTATGTGTAAAACATAGTATATATAGGGTTTGGTGCTATCCACAGCTTCAGGATCCACTGGAGTTCTTGGAACGTATCTTCTGTGGATAAGGGGGGACTACTGTATCTGATTTACATGCACTTATTTCTAATTCAATCCTAAAGTCTCTGCCCATTGTTTGAATCTCCTCTGAAAAAGTTTATTCTCATCAGGTGTGTCTATCAATTCCATCTCTTGTAGAACTATCACCTGGAGATTTCTGAAATGTCACAACCGAAAGAGTTCCCATCACTGCACGTTGCTCACTGTCACGTTGAGATATCCCTGCGCCATCAGCCTGGGACTCCCATGGCCCTGCTTTCTTGAATCTCCTGTTCCTATGTTGTATTATTTTCATAGTGTTGGGGTAACAAATTACCGTTAACTGTGTCTTAAAACAGCAGAAATTTATCTTTTCTTTATACTTTCGGATGCCTGAAGTCCAAAATCGATCTCTTGAGGCTAAAACCTAGGTGTCAGCAGGGTCAGGCTCCCTCTGGGGGTTCTTCAGGATAATCCATCGCTTTCCCCTTTCCAGTGCCTGGAGCGACGTTCCTCAGCTCACTGTCCCTTCCTCCATCTTCACATCCGGGGATGTTGCCTCTTCTCTCTCTGCTCCCATCTCGTTGCTTTCTC